TACCCTGGTCTGTTGGGTTGCTATGAGTTGGAATCAACTTGATGGCAGTGAGATAGGTCCTCTTAGAAGTCCCTGGGTGGCATAAAGAGTTAACATGCTTCACGCCTACCCCAAAGGTTGGAAGTTTGAATCCACCCAGAGCCATCTCAGAAGAAAGGCCTGACGATCTTCCAAAAACTCAACCAGTAAGAACTGGAGCGCAGTTCTCCTTTGCCATGGGGGTCACCGTGAAGTGGCGCAATCGGTTTTGCTAGTTTAATCTGATCTAATGAAAAACCCACCACCATCAAGTCAACCCTGACACACAGTCACCCTATAGGAGAAAGTACAGCAGCCCCTGTGGGTTCCCAGACGGTGACTCTTTACAGGAGTAGAAAGCCCCAGCTTTCTCTTGTGGAAACCAACAGCTGACCTTGCGAGTAGCAGCCCAGCATATATCCCCCGGTGCCACCAGAGATTGACACAGGTGCTACCACAATGGGCTCAGACTTGTGAGGATGGTCCCGTGTTCTGTTCTGTTGTACACACGAGCCCTGGGAGTCAGAATTGGCACGACAGCTCCTGATAGCAACTACATGAACTGGCAAATGCCCTGCAATGTCACCTTCCCCTCAGTCCCCGACTGAACCACCACCAGCTCATTGCACGGAATGACATGTCTGAGCCAAGATAAGCAACGACTTCCTGAACGAAGTTCTGGTGTACTGCACCTATAGTTCTGAATGACCTTGAGCCTTTGAGTCTCAGCTTTCTCATCTGTAAACCCCTGAAGGAAGACTGGTCTCAGGATTAGAAAGAAAACGTGTATTGCCTCTATACTCTACCTGGTGTATGGTGAACACTTCAACGGGGTGGCCACTAGCCATCTCAAACTTCAAATGGCCCAAGCTAGGACTATTCAGCTGCAAACTGAAAGGTTGGTTACTCACACCCTCCCACCTCTGCTTCTGTAAAGAACACACAGAGCGGGTTGTTCATTGGGCTGCTCACCACAAGGTCAGCAGTTCGAAAGTACCAGGCACTCCTCGGGAAAAAGTAAAGAGTTACCATCTGAAAATCCACAGGGGCAGTTCTGCTCTGCCCTGTAGGGGCACTATGAGTCAGCGGAAGTGACTCAGTGGCAGTGGGGGAGCTTCTGCCCTATAGGATCACCGTTAATCCACCAGACAGCCATGGGTTGGTTTGGGTTTTGAAAAGCCCTTGGCCTCGTCTGTTATTTGTGTTTATGTCTTCCCTTCTAGAGTTTACACTGCACGTGTCTTGTTCACGCCTGTCTCTAGCATCCAGCAGTGAGCCTGGCATAGAGTAGATACCCATTAACTATCAAGTGAATTAATTCAACAAGTAATCGCAGCTGCTGCTACTATGATCATCATTAAAATTAGAGAATGCAACTTTTAAAAAATAAAATTAGAAGAGGCTTGCATGGGCTATTTGTGTTCTTTATAAAGAGGGTTAGGAATAGATGTGGGTCGTGGCTCCAACCTGCTGAAATAGGGACACTATAAAATTTAGTCTTTTTTATATTTCCTGCCCCTGCTGGAGACCGCAAAGAAATGGACTGACCTCCAGGAGCCTCAGGAAACGGTTGATGGCTAGGACAGCAGGCGCCCCTCCCTCTTAAATCTCCTCCACCTGTTATCTGAGAAACCTGCCCGAGCCATCAAGTGAGCCAGCCCCCCTCCCGCTTCCTGGGAGGGAGCTCTCAGAGCCAGCCACACTGTTGGGTTGGGCAATTCCAGGGGGCCTCTTCTGATCCTCACTGGCATGGACACAGAATGGGGCCCTGTAGGATCTTAGGGCCCCGGCCTGGTTTGGGCAGTTCCTTACACTCATTTCTCTCCTAGGGATCTGGGCCTTCGCCATAGATCTCATGCTCTCCCTCTGGCCATCCCCACAGACCAGAAGCTTAAAGAGCCTCATGACCTAAAGTGTGGTGACGAGTGCTCCCTCGCTCCTGTGGCTCCGTAAGAGGTGCTTCTCAGGGGGCCATCAACGCTCCCTGTTCTCTGATCACAGACCCTGAATCTAAGGCACATCTGGAGAGGAGGTAAAGAGTAGAACGGAACTCAAAGAATTTGGTCATGGTCAATATCAATCAACACAAGTCCCTCCCCACCATACGTCTGTAGCGCAGACCTGCACCTGCCTGCTGGACGCTCCCCCAGGCTGAGCGCCCTCAAGCCTGCACCCTCTCGCCGTTTCCGTCGTCCTAGGGGCCAGAATCCTAGGATTGCTCTGGAGACCACCCGTCCCTTACTCCCTTCTTTCACCTGGACGCCCACACACTGTCATGTGGGCCTCTGAAATCCATAGCAAGCCCACCTGCTTTCTGTCACCACGCGCGTCCCAGCCACTCCCATGTGTCATCTCCTGCCTGACCCTCCCATACCTGCTTGGTGCCCCTCCTGTGTGTTCTTCCAGGAACTTACTTACCAAGTCACACCTGGACCCTACCCACACCCCTTCTGCACTCCCCCACAGCCTCAGATTTGAAGGTCCTGCTCCGGCTTTCAGAAGCCCTAGTGGTGCAGTGATTAAGCACTTTGTTGCCCTCTGGCCTTCCTGGCAAGGTTTTTGGTTACAGCCTGGAAACCCCGCACCTGCCTCCCCTTCCCCAATTCTCCAGCCAGATCCTGCCAGACGTGGTGGCTGCCATCCCACACTGACGCCGCACTCCCCTGCCTTGGCTCTTGAATTTCTCAAATTATGATCAGTGAGTGAAGTTACTTTTTATTCCCTCTTGCGGTGGTTTCTAGTGCTGTCCGTCCTCTGATCTTTCAATACCGTGAATGCACCGTGCAGCTTCCTATTCCCAGGCCTCTCGTGCTTTTCCCTCTACTCATCTGGCTGGGACTCTGCTCCCGCAGGCTCAGCTCCAACATTCCTTCCTCAGAGGAGTCTCCACTGACCCCTGCAGCCAGGGCAGCCCCTCTTGCTAGGAGCCCTGAAAGCCCTGCAGAGCGTGTTTGAGGGGTCAGTCCAGGCCCTTTAGTATGGCCTTTGTCCTCCCTTCTCCTGGACAGCCAGCACTCATCTGTGCCTCTGCTCCCCCTAAGTAGGTGCTTAAAGAAATACATTCTGTCTGAGGAAGTGAATCAAGCCTTCTAGAGCGGCCCGCCCTCCCACCGTGTGCCCCCTGCTCCCTTCTGGCAGCAGAATCAGACCCACGCACTGGAAACTTCTCGTCCTCTCTTTGTGAACAAGTCACTTAACCTCATCTGATCCTTAAATATTGTATTGTGCTTGAGGTCGAAGTTTACCTGGCACACTCATTTTCCACCTCCTGGTTGTTCAGACACCATTGTAGTGCCGCCCCCACTCGGTCAGCACTCGCCAGATTTCCTCCCTGCGTTCCCCATTTCCAGTGGTCAGTCGCCCTTTCTTCTCATCTTTGGTTTGGGGCAGATAACCCTTCAGGTTCACATCCCAGATGGTGGGGGTTCTCCGGCCCCACCGCTTGTTCCTCTGAAAAGTGGCCTTCGGGAGGGGCTCCCCTTTCAAGGTTGGAGGTTTTCTGGGGCAGTAGTCTTTCAGACCAGGTTTGTTGGTTGGTTGGTTGGTTGGTTGATTTGTTTGAATCTTGCATTTTACACTGTGCCCATTCGAACATGGGCCTTCTGGTGTGCTCCTGATCAGTGAAGTCTCTGGTGGTAGCCCGGCATCGTCTGGCTCTTCTGTCTCAGCAGACGAGCAGGTGGGAGGGACATGATGAACCGTGTGTGGCCAGTGGAACTAGATGTCCCCTTGACCTAGGTCCTTAGCCTTGGGGTCCAGTGGTTCTGTCCCGATGTCTGAGCAGTGTCTATACTCGTGCTTCCGTGGGTGCTGTTACGTACAGGAGTATCCGTGTGGCACTTACACATATGTATGTGGACAGGTCCACCACCATATTGATCTACACACATGGGTGCACTTTCGTAGACCGCCCGTATCTGCAAGGGGACTTCAAAAGTTCATGGGAACAATCCATTCTCTTTTATTCCCATTTCCCCACAAAGTTTTAAGCCTCCTCCTATTTACCATACATGTTTACCTACTCAGCTACTCACAAATGATTGTTAGTTATTGTTGCTGTTGCAGGATTGTTGTGTTTATCATTTATTATGGATGCCTTTTATTCTCTCTTTTTGTTTTTTGTTTTTTAATGTGAGTATTATAAGACCTACCTTCAAGCTCTATACAAACTCCAAATCAAACCCACTGCCACTGAACCAATTCCGGTGCATAACAGCCCCACAGGACCGAATACAACCACACCCAGTTTTCTGAGACTGTACTCGTTAGGGGAGCAAGCATCCTCATCTTTTTATTGCTGAGCTGCTCCTGGGTTTGAACTGGCACCGTTGCAGTTAGCAGCACAGTGCCTGACCCGCAGCACGACCAGGCTCTGCGACCAGGATCAAATGAGGTGAACTGCAGGACAGTCTCTGTCACACACGGGGCACGGCAGCCTTCCTGCACCCTGGGTTATATGTTGCGTGAGCATGGCTACACCCATGTTCCCCAAGAAAGGGCTAAGCACTCTGCCCTCTCCTGGGAAGAGACTAGAGCCCTATGCATGTTGCTCCATGTATGACTCCACCCTTGATGGAAAAAAAATTCACAAGGAAGCAGACAGATTTTCTCTGTACCCTGGAATCCCGTCCTTCAGGGCAAAGAACATTGTGGCCCACCCCACGTTAGAGCACAGGCCGTCTTAGAACTTTCGGGCGGCCAGATGCTGGGCCCCACTTCTGGGGCCCGCGGAATCCCGAGAGGAAGCAGTCTGGGTAGGTGCCCACAGTAGTGGGATCTGACTCCAAGGACCGCCCACCCACCCCAGACACACACACTTCTCCCTGCCACAGGGCGGTGCCAATTGGGGGGGCAGAGTCGGGAACAGAAGGGCCGAAAGAGAGCACCTCTGGGGCCCGAAGGGCGCACAGGCGAGGACAGCCGTCTGTGTCCATCGCCAGTGACGACGTGTCTTTGTCCCCCTCTTCCCCGACCCTCTGCAGGAGCATTTCTTCTCGGAGGAATCCTCTACTCTTGGCAGTTCCCGCACTTCAACGCCCTGAGCTGGGGCCTCCGGGAAGACTACTCCCGGGGGGGCTACTGCATGATGTCGGTCACACACCCAGCCCTGTGCAGGCGCGTGGCCCTCCGCCACTGCCTGGCCCTCATCGGACTGTCCACAGCGGCCCCACTCCTGGACATCACCACGTGGACCTTCCCCATCATCTCCCTCCCCATCAACTTGTATATCTCCTACCTCGGCTTCCGGTTCTACACGGAGGCAGACCGGAAGAGCTCCAGGAAACTCTTTTTCTGCAGCCTCTGGCATCTGCCCTTGCTGCTGCTGCTCCTGCTCACCTGTAAGCAGGACGGGAAAGGTGTCCGCGGAGAGCCCCGAGGGTGACGGCGCACTGGCAGCTGGGAGAAAAGGGCAACACTGGGAGCAGCGCCTGCTCTCCCTTGGCAGTTCGCGATGTCGGAGTGCGGGAAGAGAAATCACCAGCTTAGTTAAAGCAAGAGTGTCAAATAATGTGGTGCTCCGTGATCGCGTTAACAGTTTTATTTTTAATAACAGCCTCCAAAATGTACCCCAGATAAAGGAGTGGGTTGGCTCAAAAGATTAATACCAAGGAACCCCCTCCCCCTCCTCGGAGGGCCTTTTACCTCTCTTCTCTTCCTTCCATCCATCCTCTGGTCCTCCCCCTTGGACTTGCACACCTTCCTCTTTGGGCCGCTTCTCGTCCACCCAGCACACGCCCAAGCCCACCACAGGCCTAGCCCTGTAGTCACTAGTGGCCAGGAAGGGCCAGCACTTGCCTGCTATCTCTAGAACCGTGCCCTCCGGTCCCAAATGTCCACCCCGGTCCCCAGATACTAGTGACCTCCGTGAAGGCTCAAGTCGGAGCAAACATGCACTGCTGGCACCGTACTTCCTATCGGTGACCAAGCGCGAGAGGCCATTCCAAACGGTTATCCAGGAACCTCAAACTCACCCCGCCCTAACCTCAGCATTTCACAAGTCTCGGGCTATCAAAGGCGTTTTGATAGTTCATGTCAAAATTTGAGGGAACTTTAAAGTGCTTTTGGAAACATGAAAGATAATAGAATTTCCCCACAGACATTTTGGCTTTTGGGAGCCCCCTCATACACCCATGTCCACAGCGTTTCTCTCTGGGAGGGGAGGTCACTGGCTTCTTAAGGGAAACCCCTGGGCTGTCCCGTTACTGGACCTCTTTGGTTGCACAGTTAGCCCCTCCGCCTCTCTTCTCGGCTAGTGACTGGGGGCCTGCCGGCGCACAGCTTACGTTCTTGCCCTGTAGAGAAAGGCGCATTTCTAGACTGCCATCTCGGCTTCAGAAGGAAACCGCTGCCCTCAGCCGGCTGTCACCTCCCTGCCAGGAGTGCCAGTCGAGGCCCCCACGGGGCTGGTTTCCGTTGTGGGAGTTTGGGGCGCTGTATGTAGTCACGTGTGACCTTGGGGTCTGTCCCAGCCACAGCTGAGGCACCTCCGCTCCGGAGCCCCAGTGCACTTCCACCTCTGGCTGTAAGCCTTGCAGTTTGGCAGCAGGATGTTTTTGTTCCTCCAGCTCCAGTGGCACAGTTGCTCTGTAGGAATTCCTTCTGGGGGTTTCAGCAACATTTAAACAATCATTGCAATATGCCTGTTTTCTCAACAATTTCTAAAGCGATTGCAGATAGCATCTGCTCCCAGTTTCTACTTACCTGCAGTCGCACCGCTTGGCTGTGTCCGGGTTACTTACAGTGGGGAACATGGCATCGGAATGTCTGGAAAGAAACTCTACAACGTGTTGCAGTCCTCAAATTTGTAAAATGTATTGATTTTATTTTCCTTCTGCAATAAAATAATCTGTTTGAGCAGGAGTGTGTGTGTGTGTGTGTGTGTGTGTGTGTGTGTGTGAGAGATGTTTCATGTAAGGGGGCTCATTTGGTGCCGAGTTTGCACCATTCCTGGGTAGAATTGATACCACTTGACTCACTCCTGCATGAGCGAGCCCAGGGTCCCAGGGCATTCATGTAGCGCATGTGCTCCAGGTGGGGAACGTGAGCACCTTGAGTTGCCCTGGGGCTGCCAGTGCCAAGATCATCTGTTGAAGCCCACCGGGAGAAAGATGGAGCCATCGGTTCCCAGAAAGGTGTGCAGGCTTGGAAGCCCTGCATGGGGTTGAGATGAGTCAGGGTCAGCTGTGGCGATGAGTTTGTTTGAGGTTCTGTAACCACAAGAAGTCTTTGTGTGGTGCAGATGGTTAATGTGCTCGGCTGCCAAAGAATAGTGGGAGATTCAAATCCACCCAGAGGGAGCCACGACGAAGGAAGGCCCGGTGGTCTATCTTCAAAGCATCAGTTGAGGAAAACCCTGTGGGGCATACTTCCACGGTGAGGTGCAGGGGGGTCACCATGTGTTGAATAAGAAAACACAGTTACCTCCCCACTCCAGCCCCCAGTCTTCTATTGGGCTTGGAATGATCCTTCCTTCAAACATTACCAGAGAAATATTTCATATCAAATGGTTTAAACGCCTGCAAGAGGGCTTGTACACAGATTCCAATTTCTCTCCAATTCTTTTCAATGCCACCTAAACGTCCCCCTGCCCCTCTGCACACCTCCTGCCCCTCTGCACACCTCCGCAACTCCACCTACACGCCCAGGTCTGGACGTCACACACCATGACACACACCCAAGTGAGAATATCGACTCACTCGGGCTCCTGTGACCATCCCATGCCCCCAAGAGGCTCTTAGCTTGGCTGCCTTTCATAAGGAAGCCCTGCTAATGATTTCCATGTTGGGCAAAACCCTGCTCCCAAGGGTTCTTTCATTTGGATAAGTGTGTGGGCGTGGAGCCCTGTCCAGACGCATAAGCCAGAAGCACATAGTAAGGCCTCAGGGACTCAATTCCGTCATTTAACAACTCTAACGGTACAAATGATTGATGCACTTGTCTGCTGATCAATAGCTTAGAGGTTCAAGTCTACCCAGAAGCACCTCAAGAAAGTCCTGATGGGTTAAGAAAAAAAATCTAAAAATGAGTCAGGGTCGACTGGATGGGCAATGGCCTGGGATAAACTCCCAAAGGCAGCCTTGTCTCTTCCCAACTGTTGAATTCTTGGACATCTAGCAGGCGGCCAGAGGATGACCATGAAATGGATGTTCCACCAGCGATGGAATGTGTGGCTCCAGAGGAATGGCTAGGGTGTGGGGAGGGTGGGGGACACGAGCAGAAGGAATATTCCTCCCTGCCGGGCTCATGGGACATCACCTGAGACTGGAGCTGATTGGTGGATGGGACTGAATATAGGAGAGGTGAGCCTTTCTACAAATTTTGTGAAGCTAATTGCCAGAGTTGAGCCAAGATACCAAGGAATTGCCATCACCTCTTCCTGGTTTCAGGCATTCGTCTTTGTGAATCTTCAGGATACCTTGGTCCGGTTACCTAGTTGCAGAGTGAGTGTCTCTGTTATCTCCTCCTCCTCCTTCTCCTCCTCCTCCTCCTCCTCCTCCTCCTCACTGCCGTCAGTCGAGGCCAACTCAGAGCCACCCTAGAGGACAGGCTGGAACTGCCCCTGGGAGTTTCTGAGACTACCTTTGTACAAGAGTAGAAAGCCCTGTCCTTTTCTTTCAGAGTGGCTAGCGGTTTCGAAATGCTAACCTTTCGATCACAGCCTAACTTGTTCCACTAGGCCAACAGCGCCCCCATAGTCCCCGAGAACCGCTATAATAGAAATAACACAAACGGGGAACGTTAACAAACAAGTGTATTCCCTCACAGTTCAAGCGACTAGAAGTCTGAATTCAGAGTTCTTCCAAAGTCTGATTCTGGCACTCTTTGGAGCACTCCATGTTTCTGCCCTTTCATATTCCCTTGGGTGTAAGACAGTGGTTCTTAACCTTCCTAATGCCGGGACCCTTTCATACAGTTCCCCATGTGGTGGTGACCCCGTCATAAAATTATTTTCATTGCTACTTCATCACTGCAATTTTGTTACTGTGATGAGTCGGGCGGCCCCTGTGAAAGGGTCACAGCCCACAGGTTGAGAACTGCTGGTCTAGGAGGGGCTCATTACAGATGCTGGTACAAAGGACACACTCCCAGATGCTCTTTCTTAGTGGTAGTGGTTTCTGCCCTTACTACTTGTTTCTCTTTCCTTATTGCTCATCAGATAAAAGGTGTGACTTTAGTAAAAGTGTGATTCAAGACATACCCCATACTGACCCTGCCTCTTTAACATAGAGAGGTTTGGGTCTAAAACACAAAGTGGAGGATAATTGCATCAGATGACAAAATGGAGGACAACCACACAATATTCAGAATCTTGACAGCAAAGTTGGCACATTTGGGGGAAGCACAGTTCACTCTATGACAGTAAATTACTGGGCCAAATTAATTAAGTAGACTTCTTGGGCCCCTACCACTGTCTTGCTCTCACTTACGCTTTGCTTCCTGGAGTATGGGAGTAAAACATCAACTGCCCACAAGCATATCCCACTGCAGTCATTACTGTAACTCTTTGACCAGGCGTGAGCTTCCACGCCACCTCCTGCATGGGCTCTGAGTCACATAGAGCGGAAGTAGATGAAGCCCCAGTGTTTCATTAAGGGGGGGCCCACAAGGGAAGGAGAAGGCCAGAGAATGGGGATCCAGCTGTAGCACAGGTGAAGAAGGAAAGTTGGTCTTAAAGTCTTAGGGGAAGCCAGATGTAAACCATGGTGCTTTCCACTGGCCTCGTTCATGTAGAGCTAGACAGTAAGGAACACTACAGAAGAACCGATGCATTTTAATTATGGGGTTGATAAAAAATCCTGACTGTACCATAGACTGGAAGTAGAAGCAGCAAATCTGTCTTGGACAAAGTACAGCCAGAATGCACCTTAGCAATGATGGTGGAGAGATTCACATGATTGGAACATCTTATCAGGAGAGACTAGTCCCCAGACAACGGGCATCCTGCTGGATGCAGGGTTAGCAAAAATAGAGACAGACTTTGACCAAATGGATCGATACAGTGGCTCCAACCATGAACTCAAACAATTGCAAGGATGGTAGAGGAGCCGGCAGTGTTTTGTTCTGTCGGACATAGGGCCACTCTGGGTCAGAACTGACTGGATGGCACTTTCCAGCAGCAACGTCCTCACCAAGCAGCAGCCAGCGGCACATTAAACACAGCTGGGGCTGCAGGACCAGGGAGGGAGCTGACGACTCGAGAAGGAGCAGAGAAAGCAAACATCTACAGAGAGGCAGGGGGACTACGAAAAGCCAACAAGATCCACAAGGCAAACACAAACAAGCCCACCCAACCCTTCTGACTTTAACAAACATGCGGGAAAACGAGCTCAAGTGAGAGAAGAGGCATCTTTCCCTCGCTCCAGGGGAGGTGGACTCAACAGTCCTTCAATTGTCTACCAAGTAAATAACTGTCAAACCACGGACTTGGGTGGAGTAGAGGTTCATGAATAAAGCGGAGGACCCTCGACGAGACTGATTCAGTGACGACAAAATGGGCAACAGGCAGTAACATTGGCACCTAGCAATAGGACTGTGTGAGGGCTCATGGGGTAGAATTCTTCCAGGGAGGAGACCCAGGCTGGATTCTCAACCATTACACCTCATGTGAAATCACCACGCATGTCAGTCACTGTCATGCTAAACAAGCTCTGGTGGAACTTCCAGACCAAGACAGACTTGGAGGACCTGGCCATGTTTTTCCAAAAACCAGCCAAAGGGGTTGATTTTCAACCTTTCATGGATTGAAAGGAAACCATTACAGGTCTGAGAAAACAGCATGGGCTATGTGTGTATGGGGGTGGGGTAGGGGCACTACTGACCTCCTTTGGCTGCAGAAGTAAGAAGGAGAAATTGACTCCCGCCCGCCCTAGGCGGATTGCCACTGGCAGAAGTCACATATGCCTGCACCCTCCATCTTTCTTTATCTGACACCAATTGCTCCTCCCACAACACCCTGCTTTTCTGCACGTTCAGTAGTTCACTACAAGGGCCTCACAGAACTCACAGACAATATTCACAATTGTCACGAGGATCCGGGGAGTTAGCAGGCTATCACAAGCTGGGATGTCCTACGGCAGGAAGGCCTTAGCTTTGGCCTTTTCTCGGTCTGTAGCCAAGATTCTCTTGGGGACTTCCACATCTTAGCTGCACCGCCCTTTGCCTCTGCCTCATTCTCGAGGCCAGGAAGCCCCCCTGCTGCTCGGCCTCCCCTTCTCAAGGTCTCTGGTCTCCGTACTGTGGTTTTTCTGGCCTCTGTGTGGCATGGCCTCTGTCGCCTCTGCCACGTGATCAGGGAGCTCAAAGAGCAGGCTCCACCGGTGGGTCTTCTGCTGCAATGGTCTAGGGAACTCTCTCTCCCAACTTCTGAGATGCCTCTCCCTTAAAGCCGACCAGTTTCTGAGGTAGAGGCCTCTCCACCTTATTTGCATGGCCCTACCCAATCATTTCGTGGGAGTTACAGAGACGTGGAGAGAGGAATCCTATTGAGAAATTTCACATCCCCACAGGAACCCAACTGTCAGGTCAGCATCCCTCATGGGGCTGGCGCACAGCCAGGCAGGGTTTGGGTCACGTTTGCATGGTGGCATCATGAGGAGGGGACCAGCTCAATGGCAGCTTTGGATAAAGGGATAAAGAGATGAGCTAAGATGGGGCACCGTTCCTGATGTCAGATTATCCAACAGGCGAGGTAAACATGGTCCGACTTGTGCTTACCTATTAGCCTGTAGTGACTAATTTCGCATTCTTTCCATGACATCAAAGATTCAACTTCTAGGTATAGTTGTCATCTGTCCCTCTTCCAACCTCACAGCACCTTCTTGCAGAATCAAAGCCTCTTCCCATATTGACCCTGG